CTGGAAGGTGGGCCAGAGGGTGGGGTGCGTGGCCTGGAGGGAGAGGTCAGGGTAGCCGATTCAATGAGTCATTGTTGGTTCTGAGATACTCTGGACATGCACAGTCCTTGGTCCACCTCGGGCTCCCCCAGACAGGAGGCAACTTGCAGCACACCAGTGATATGGGGCAGGCTCCCATTTGGAATGGAATGGAGGTCCACTCCAGGCTTCCCACTTTACCCCAATGACCTGGTGACCCTGGTCCCTGGGCCTGAGCCCTCCCTGCCTCAGTGGGTCCCAGGTGGGGAATAAAATGGTCCAGCTGCCTTGCACCCCTCCACAGACTGCTGGCCATGGTTTGCTCACCTGTCCTTTCTCCCCCTCTTCTCCTGCTGCCCACTTCCTTACATAGGACTTCAGAGGATTGGGGCACAGGCCATTACAGATGCTCTGGTAGAGGAAACAAAAAAGGCTAGGAAGAAAGGAGCCCTGATCCAAATCCCGACTGCTGGATAACAACCAGTGATCTCCCTGGACCTGCCAGGATGGCCTCACCTCTGCAATCGTGCCAGCATGCTGCCCAGCTGTGGTTAGAGAACCAAGCTATGGTTAGAGAGCTCAGGGCTGCTGGTGTGGGGCTCTCAGCTGTAGGCCTCTTGCTCCTCATGCTTGTGCCATGAAGTGGGAGGGCAGGAGGACACCCTAGACCCTGCAGGATGAGGGGCAGTTGAAAGAGGACTGCCGGTGTTCACCTTCAACCCACTAGCTTCTGCCACCCATGCAGGGAACCTGCACCCATAGCAGGGAGGCTACTGAGATAGTGCTTCACAATCTCATCATTGAAGAAGCAGGGCGTACTGGGAAAAAGCAGCAGGAGCTGGCAGTGATCACCGCCTTCATCCACCTTCAGGGAAGAGTGGAGGGGGAGGGAGAAATGCCTCTCCAAGGTGCCCACCCTTTCCTCCTCTGGCCATAGGCGATCCCCCCAAGCTGCCGTTCCCAGCCCCCACCCTCTCCTCCGCCTCCCTCAAAGCAGCAGCCTCACCTTCAAATGGATCCTGAGACTTCAGCACATGTTCCTCTTGGTCCCTGATCACAACTGTCAGCTCTAAGTGCCTGACAAAAGGCTCCAGGTCAAGGAGCCTGCAGCCTGGGTCCTGGGCAGGGAGCGGCCAGGAAATGGGAGTGTGCCTGGAGAACAGCCTGGCATCCCATCCCCTGTGTTTCCCCTGGACCCCGCCCTTGTCCTCAGAGGGCAGTGAGGTCCATGGTGGCTCCTCCTTTGCTCCCATGGTAGGCACAAACACAGACAGGCTCCTTTCACACACAGCCCCCATGTGTGGCTGATGCTCCCCCACCTGTAGCTGTAGCCCACATTCCTGGCTCTGATGCAGCAGGTGGAACTTCCAGCCCCCCTCCTGCATCGTTCATTACTTACAGAACGACCTGTGCAGTACAGACTTTGTTCTGTCTCCAAATCTGGCTTGCACTGTTGTCCTGAAGGTGAGGCATGTCCCCAGAGGTTGGGTGTCTGGCTGAGGTCTCCACCCCGAGCTGTTCTGCACCATGTCTGAGCTCCTGAGCTTTTCTGGGAAATGTCTGTATTCATTCCAAACTGTGCCCACTGGTAGCTCCTTACACCTGCCCTATCCCTGACACAGTGGTTCTCCCATTGCAGCACCCAGGACACAGCTTCCACCCAGAATGCACGCACCCACTCAATGAAGGTGCCTCTGAGTCCTGGGTGGGGCTTTTGCATCTAAGAAGCCCTGCACTGGAGCCCAGAGAAGGCCCTGCTGCCTAGCTCATGCTCAGGCTCCATCTCCAACTGGAGCACATATGGAGCCTCCAGTGGCAACCAGATGCAGGGCCCAGGGGGCAGAGGCCCAGCCTGCTCCCCTTTCACTGACTCCTGGCCTTGCTCCTTTGCTTTGGCCTGGTGCTCACCCTCTGCTTCCTCTGCCCCCTGACCCTGCTGTGTGTGTCACTCTTTCTCCCACACAAACCTTTCCCCAGCAACCAATTGCCCCTGCATCCTCTCCTCCTGGTGATTCTGCCTCTCCCTGCTCTCCCTCCCCAGGGCTTCATGTTCCTCCAGTCCTTGAACAAACAGCACTTCAGCCTCTACCCCCTCCTGCCTTCCTACTTCTACCTCTTGAAAATATCCTCCCCTACTACCACTCCCACTTCAGGCCCTATACTTCCCAATGCTGCTCCTGCTGGCTCTCCTACTGCAACAGAAGCCCTGTCCCCCCACCACAGATGCTCTTCAGTCACCATCTCCTCCCTCCACAGTTCCAGATTCCACAAGAGATGCTTCCTTGCCACCAACACTTCAGCCTACCCCACGATCTGTGCCACCTACAGGAACTCATCTCCATTCAGCACAAACGGCTCCACTACCACCTATCCACCCTCTGGTCCCTGTGCCCCAACCCACAGCTCAGCCCTCTAAAGTTCTTGCTGGACCTCAGTCTCCTCTTCCTCTTGCAGGTGGTCTTCAGCGACCACCACCTCCTAGGAGCTCAACACCAGTTCCTGTAAAATCTTTCCCAGTACTCTGGCACCTTCCCCCAACCCCTAGGCTCCCACTGCTTCCTGCTCTGTGTCCCCTGCTGGACCTTCGGCTCCCCCTCCTGCAGGATTTGCCATTTTGCCAACAACCACCTGCTCAATTTCTGCCTCCAGATCTGTGCAAAACGCCTCCTTGTTCGCCCCACCTCTATTCCTCTGCTGACACTTTTCCAAAGATCCTCCCTTGCCACCACCAACTAACTACACACCCAGTGCTAACCTCTTCCTTACAGCCATCCGCTGGGGCACAACCTCCTGCCCCACTACCAGCTCCTCCTTCACTACTTTCACCCAATGCACTTCCCTCCTCCTCACAGCACCTTCTCCCTGAGCCTCCTGCACACCCACTTCTTCCTCCACACCATCACCATCTGACCCAGGGCCTCATCTCACCATTCCCTCATGTGTCTCCCTGCTGGTCCTCCAAACTCTCCTTGTCCACCACATCCCATGTAGTCCTACTCCAACTCATAATGGAGTTCCAAGTCTGCATGCTGCTGGGTTTCCAGTCATCAGCCTCCACTTTGTTACAGGGAAAAACCAAAACCGTACTCTAGGCCACCATGTCCACTTCTACCAACACTTCATTCCCTGACCTCCCATCAGCAACCTGCTGGAGGTCCTCCATACAGCTCAAGTATCTCAGCACTGTCCCCACCCTCTGCCTTGGGGCATGTCATTTTGGCCCTGATTCCCACAGGACCCAGGAAGCATCCTCCCCAGGTGGGGCTGAAGCAGGTGGCCAGGCCCTCCTACCTGCCACTGCATCTTGGAGCCCTGAGGGACTCTGGGCACATCAAGTGCCCATTGGGAAGCAAAGGCACTCTGGGGAGCCCCAGTAGCAACAGGATTTGGAAACACAGCCACTGCACAGAGGGACAAGCCCAATGCACACTGAGAGGCAGGCCCCTACCAGGATTCCAGCTGATGACCCTGAGCTGAAGCTGCCTGGGGGAATGAACAGGGTGGTAAAGTCAGAATGTGGCATGGAAGGGGCCATGGTGAGACACGGGAGGCTGTAGGCCATGGCCTATTTATTCATCACACACCTCCTCCAGTCAGTGCTGGGACCACGTAGGTCAGGATTCCACATGCACTGCAGGTGTGAATGTCGGTCCGTCTGATCTGCTTAATAGTGGCGCGTGGCCCTGCTACAAAAGACACGGAGACAGAAGCACTGCTGAGCACTTTATGTCTCCTTCCCCGTCACTCAGGAACATGACAAAAATCTCTCTGCATCCACATCCACAGGCCATGCCTCGGGCAGCCTTTGCTCCTGTGCCAGAAAACCACACAGAATCCTTCAGCCATCCCTGGCACGTGAAGGCTGAGCCCAGGCCATGTCCTCCCTGGCCTAACTGCATGGTCTGCCCTGCTCACTCCCACTCCTGATTACCCCCTAGAACTCACTCCCAAACAAGCATGCCCACACCTGCACTCACAGGCACCAGCACACTCCCCAAAGTGGTCTGGGGCCACTCTGTGTCCCAAGGTGTCCCCAGTCATTGCACTGTGCCCTTTCAGGACCCCTCCTCCCCTTCCTCCCCCAGGATACCCAAAGTGTGCTGCCTGGTGCCTGATGCCACCTGCAGTAATTACTCCTGCAGGGATTGGCTGAAGGAGCCTGGGGCCTAGACAGGTAGGCGGGGCTGTGGGGGAGAGAGGAGGTGCAGCATGGCAGGGCAGGACTTTTCCTGCACAGCTGGGAAGGGGGGGCAGATACAGATGGCCCACTGAGTGCTTCGGGGCCCAGGTAGGGGAGCGCCCAAAGTGCCAGACAGAGAACTGCAGAGATGCGTCCAGGTCTCCTGCTTCCTGCAAGCACTCCCTGAGCACAGGGGCTGTCCCCTGCCATTTGGAACATTCCCACAAGCCACATGGTGCCCTGGGGTAACATCCAGGTTTCCTGAGCCGGAGCTTTCCCTCCTGTTTCTCAGGGGAGGTTTCAGGTGAGCAACAACTCACCTGTGAACACCTAGTGCACAGGCTCCTCCGCCAAGGGTCCTGTCTGGGCTCCCTCCACTGGGGCCTTCCTACCCCTCAGGTAGTGCCTCAGGGGGTTGGGCCACAGGTCCTCACTTAGGAGCTGAAATCAAAACAGCCCACAGAAGGGCTGTCCCAGACAGCTCTGCACAAACCCGGGGCCTCCAGCATCACCATTTCTGACCATGGCCAGAGCAGCCTCACCTCAGCAATCTTGCCCGAGCCTGGAAGACTGGGCTCTGACAGCCAGTTGAAGAGGTTGACACTGGTTGTCATGCCTGCGGCTGGGTGCCCAGCGTTGGTAGTCCCAGAACCAGTTGACTACAGTGGAATGAGTGGCCCTATAGCCTGAAGCAGGGGACCTGCTAGTGTGGTTCCCTATTGCCCAGCTTCCACACCACCTCCCACCTGCCCCACCCCTTCTGCTTGCTCTCCCACACCCACATCCAGGAACCCCATCTCACCTGCAAGGCCCAGACGATATTCCTTGATGATCACTTCATTCAGGAAGTAGGGGTTGCTCTGAGAGAAGAACATCAACCTGCAGTGGTACTTCGGCCCAAACAGGTCCTTCACCTGTGGAGACGTGGTGGCAGGTGCACTTGTCCCTGCTGCCTGACTTTGCCTGCTTGCTGGAAGCATCCACCTCTCTTGCCCTCTTCCCCCTGCTCCGACCACTCGCACCTCGAACCCAGGCCCCCACACTTGCCTGCCCCTGGGCCACCCCAGTCTGACCTCCAAAGTGATCAAGTACTCAAGCATGTCTTCGTCTTGCTCACTGATGATGGCTGATATCTGGGGGTGGTTCCGAATCTGCTCTTTGGTCAAGAAGCCTTCAGAGCAATGGGATGCACAGCTGAGAGCTACGGATTTCCACTGAACCGAAACAGAGACTGCCATGGCCCTCCCACCAGAACTGCACCCAGGTGCCCTCTTCCTGTCCCATTCCAGGCTGCCTTTACTCACACAGGCTCTCCAGTCTGGTACCCCTGGGTTCATGCACTCCCCAGGCTGCCTGCAATGTGACCGGAGAGCCGGCCTCCAGACCCTCCTAGACACCTGCCCCTCGGGAGGGTGTGCTGGTGCAGATGCCTCAGGGATCAGGTTCTCTGCCCTTGCCCCTTCCCTGGCCCTTGGGCTGCCAGAGGAAGCAGTGCACAGGTTCCCAGGAAACTGCGCCAACACGCAACAATTTCTAGAGACCTCTGCCTAGCATGAAGGCAGTGATCCCTCTTTGGAACTCTCCCAAGCATGTGGGTTGCCATCAAAAGGGTGTGTCTGCGTGTTTGTGTGCCTGCGGGGGCCCGAGGATGCACCCCTGAGTGTGCCTGTGGAAGGGGGTGGGGGGTGGGAACAGGCTCTGTCGCCTGCCCCCAAACCTTCTTGGGACCTGCTGTCTGACAAGAACACGTGAAGGAAGGCATCTGGAAGGTGGAGGCGGGCAACCGGTCTTTTTCCAGGAGCTCCCAGGCTCAAAGTATCCTTTGGGCTGTTGGGTTGCTGTGGATAAGTGTGCCTTGGATATCTGCAGTGCAGGAACAGTAGCTCATGCTCACGCGTTCTGCTCTGGTGCCCAAACACAGCCTTTCAGGCCCTGCTGGGCCCTCATGTGTAGCTGGGTACCTTGCCCACCATACATTCAGTCTGGCCCCTGTCCCAGGGCTTCCTGTGCCCATGCAGGTGCCAGGCTCTTCCCTCCTCCCACTTCTCCTCCTGGCCCTCGCACCACATCTGGCCTCCTGGACCTTCCCTACCACCACCCCCAGGGAGCATGGGGACGGATGTGGCTTTGGCCCAGAAACCAGGGATACACTGAATGATGCATCTCCTGCGTTCTAAAATGGGCTTCCGCCGGTATGCAGTGGTCCGCTTCACCCGAAGGTAGTCCCTGCGGCCTTGGGCGCTCTGGGCCCTCAGCTGGCACTGCAGGGCCTCCAGCGCCTCCAGCGCCTCCACTGAGGGCCAAACGCTGCTCCCACCTGGCTTCTCCTCTGCCCTTAATGGGGCCGCCCTCGGAGTCAACTCCTTTTCCCCAGTCCTGACTTCCACAACCTGCAGGAGACCCCGCATGTCCCGCACCAAGCCCGTCCCCTGTGCCACCCTCTACCCAGCCAGGCTCGCCACCTCCAGCAGGCCCCTAGGGCCCGGCCTTCTGCATAACATTCACACTTCCCTTTGCAGGAATCCTTGGCCAGCCCACCACCACCTGGACTTCAAGGCCGCCCCTGCCGCCTTCCATGATTCCCATGAGCTGCGCTTCACTGCCAGGGAACCCAGACAGCCCTGTCACCTGGAGGGCCTTGGCAGGTGGTATGGTCACCCCAGTAGTGCAGGATGCAGCGCTGACTGTGTGCACAGCTTCACTCGCCATGTTTCCAGGCTCCAGGGCTGGGCAGCTGCCCAGGGGCACCACCCCTGCTTATCCTCCTTCTGCTTCCTTTGCTAGACACTGGGCCTAGGCAAGCCCAGGCCCTGGTGCCTGCAAGCAGGACTGGTTTTCAGTCGCCCCCTAGTGGCCAGGACGACCAGGGCTCTAGGAGCAAGCTGTGGCCATGCCCAGACTGCTCGCCTCCTCTGTCTTCCTTTGGCCCAGGCTACTCTGGGACCCACCTGTCAGCCCGCTTCCGTGGGCCACAGAAGCGGGCTGACAGGTGGGGCAGCTACCCCTCTCAGGCATCAAGGTGATGTCCACCAAGTGAACCACCTGCCCTTTTCGGGACCTTCCCTGGCCATGGCCGCCTGCTGTGTGTGTTCTCCAGGTGCTAACCAGAGCCTCTCCCTACCTGTTCCCCTCTCCCTGGCACTTTGGCAGGGTCACACTGAAACACCAAGTGAGAGAACCAGGGACACACGTCCTGAGAGCAGGAGGTTTTCCTGCGAGGAAACCCCTGGCAGGTGACAGCGGCTGGAATGGGGAAAGCCTGTGCAAGAAGGAGACTCTGGCCTCCCCTCAAGAGGGAAAAGCGCCCAGAAAAGGGTGCATTTGGTCTGACTGTCCATCTGTCACCTTCTCTCTGTTTCCTAGTTCCCTCCCTCTCCCTGTCTGTCCTTGCCCCCAAGGGTCCGTCCCCTCCCCACCTGGGGGTTCCAGTGACCTATAGCAACTGCAGTGCCTGAAGTAGAGAAGGCAGCTGCTCCTTCCAAGTTTGGCCCCTTACAAACAGCAACCCTCTCCCCCTCTGCCCCAGTGACTTGGCCAAGTGTCACAATGCAGTCGGGAACTCTCTGTGGCCAACTCTTTCTACATTGCTTGTCTAGGGGAATCATGGAGAGGCAGGTGCCTCCTTTTCAAGCTGCATTGCTGCAGGATAGGAAGTGCTTCTGGCCCTCTAAGAGCAGGACTGGAGATGTTCAGTGTGCCCTCGGTGACACAACCAAGACCTGAAGATTCAAAAGGTGCGACCAACAGGATGACCCATATTCCTGTCAGACTCTGGTGCCATTGCAGGCATTTCTGCTGCACACAGAAGAAATGGAATCGTGCCCACCTGGTGGTTCTATTGAGGGTTTTCTAGGTGTTTTCTTGCATGAACACTTCAAGGGTTCCCATCAACCCTTTACTTGCAGCCCAACTGACCACAAGCATAGGAAGAGTCCTCACAAAGACCATCTGTTGTATTATTTTATATATACCAGCTCCTTCCATTGTAGCATGTAGTTCTGGAAAGTGGGATGTAGTGAGACACTGTGCAAGATGAGCCCAAGGGCTTTGACCTCTGTGGAGTCCTCCTTGGGTAAGGTTTCATCTTTGGTTGAGAAGAATATAAACTGTGCGTCTCGGAGTGACCTAAACCCATTGGATGTTCTGTTTCCTTGTGGGATGCTTTCATGTGCTTACACGGGTTTCAATTTTCACCTCCCTTGTGACTGGTGGCTGCATGGTGTTGCCCTGCTCATCTGCCTGAACACAGCTGGCCCTTAACGGCCTCCCTGGCCTGTAACTGCACACAGCACACTGTGCGCCCATACTACCGCAAACTTCTCTGTAAGGCTAACACACAGCATGAACTTGGCGCTGCCTGTGAACATCCCTGTTTCCCATAACTGCTCCTTCTGCTCTTGGTAGCAGTTGAACCAAGTGGCAAATGCCACCCCTCTGCTGTCATGTCAATGGCAGATGTCTAAGAGCAAGGGCAGTTGTCTAGCTCTTGACAACTCCATGCTAGATAGAGAAAAGTGGATCATTAGCCAATCTCAAGCCACCCCTCCACCCCCATTTTCTGGGAGGGTACCCTGTGTCTGTCTCCTGCATTAGGGGCAGGTCCCCATGGCCCCAGCCCCTGTGTCCTTCCCTCCTTGTCCCTGACATTATCTGGGAGAGAGGAACAAGTGCTTCAGGCCTGCCTTGCCAGGATCCCTACATCCAAAGACCACTCTCACCATCACACAGGCAGAACTCCATGCACCCTGGATGCATAGATGCCCATCCAGCTCATCACCTGAAAATGGTGCAAACTCTTCTGCAAAGGATGCAGAGATAGAAGCACTGCTGAAATCTGTGTGTCTCTTTGTGTCACTCATATATGCTTAGGTAACTTTCTGAATCCACAGGCCATCAGGTTGGCATTCTCTCTTCCCATGTGAGAAATCACACAGAATCCTTCATCTGTTACTGACGTGGGAAGTCTCTGTGCAGTCCCTGTCCTCCCTGTCCCAGTTACATGGTCTGCCTGGCTCACCTCCTGCTGTGCATTGCTCCCTAGCCATCCCAATAAAAGGAGCATGCCCCCAACTGCACTCACAGACAGGGACACACACTGAAATTCCTCATGTGGCACATGGTGTCTCTACTCATTTCACTTATGTGCCCTTTTTTGACTCTGCTTCCTTTGAGTCCCTGAGGACGTGAATAGTGTGCCATGTGGAACCAGGCCACTACTACCATGATGGTCCTGGTGGAGGCAGCTGGGGGGGATTAGCATTTCAGTGACAGGAGGTGGCACAGTTGGAATTTGCCTGGAGCACTGGAAGGAGGACCTGGGGGACCCAAGGCCTATGAATAGTTTGCGGCTCAGAGATAAAAAGGCCAAGGTGTCAGAGGTAGAATTGCAGAAATGTGGTGAAGAATCCTGCTTCTGAAATAGTGCCCTGGCCCATTCACATGAAAGCCTTAGGTGCTTTGAGATTTCCCTTCTCCCTCTGTGGACTCTCTATCCCCTAGGGCTTTCCACTGCCCATTGCAGCATTCTGAGCCACCTTCTGGTGACCTAGGGTAGCCTCCACATTTCCTGAGCCCAACAAGCTCTGGCTCCTGTTTCTGAGATATGTTTCCCTCATGCAAAAGCACACACAAATGCCCAGCTTTTCCGCACATCAGCAACAGTTTCTGCTCCCAGCCCCTCCCACTGGTGCCTTAATACCCCTGTGGTCATTCCTCAGGGAATAGGCCACAGGTCCTCACTTCTGAGCTGAAGCCAAAACAGCACAGGCCAGGACAGTCCTAGCACTCCCTAGCTGGCACCCGGGGCCTCCAGCCTGGCCACTTCTGACCAGGGCCAGAGGAGCCTCACATCATCAATCCTGTCTGAGCTTGGGAGGCTGTGCTCTGAGAGCCAGCTGAAGAGATTGACAGCTGGGGACTGCATGTTCATAGTTCCAGAAATCGGACTAAGGCAGAATGAGTCTCCCTGGGGGTTCTGGCCCCAGGAGACAACTTAGAGCACAATTCTTCCTGGACTCTGAAGAGAGTAGACATTTTGTAGCTGGAGTGCCTTTTGGTTTCCAGGAGTTGAGGGTTTCCTGCTACCTACTGGCACCCACATGTAGCATTTGCCCCAGATCATATCTGCTTCTGATGAGGGTTTCAACAAACCCCATTATGGAAAAGTGCTTCCCCATCATGCACCAAAGTTAGATGAGGAACATGCTGTTTTCTCATGAAAAGGCTTGAGAAAGGGAGCAGAGAAAGAAACCATCTGTGCCTTCTTATGTAGTGGAGGCTCCTCAAAAACTTTCTCAGATTTCACGATCCACACAATGTCTGTGGGACTTCTGGAATGGCCCACGAGGGTCGTTGGCCTAGGGTATGGCCTTTCTTTCCTATTTTGGGATAAAGATACTAGCATGCCTCATTGACAGAAATACTGGGAGAACTCTGCAAAGTTCATTGCTGAGGACTATTGGCATATGTAGGGAATGGGTGTCAGTAATTGTGTGTGGGTAGTTGTGGGTCAGTAGTTGTCTTCAGTACACTGAACTGACTGACCCTTTGACATGCGGCCTGAGCACGGTTCCCATTGCATCCACCTCTTCTAAGCTCAAGAGGAAGGATCTCACTGCATCCTGTTAACAACACATGGGTCAGTGCCTTAGGTCATCTTGGCAGAATGTGCCAAGTTCAAGTTTTAAACCCATGCGTCCAAACCTCCTAAACAAGTACGGGGTCCCCATTCAGAACAGAAGCCCTTCAGGCATGAAGTTCAAAACACAGGGTGGCAGAGCTCAGGCACTAGTTGTGCTTGGCCTAGTCCCGTTCGTACCCCTCATTTGCCTGTGAGAAGATGCAGTGCTATGGAGTGCACTGTGGTCCAGGAAGAATGAGCCATGAAGGCAGATTTCTTTCAGAACCCTGCTGTGCCTCAGGCCCACAGACACAAGACTACTGACTCCCATCCCCCATGTAGACAAATTTTCCTCAGCAATGAACTTTGCAGAGTTCCTCCAGTATTCCAGTACCTTTCTCCTCACATAGGGAAGAGAGGCCACACCCTGGACGTTAATGCCACAGGACATCCCAGGAAGTCCCACAATCATTGTGCAAATCTGAAAATCTGAGAACACTTTTAGCTGGCCAGACTCTGTAAGAACACATAGATGATTTCTGCCTCTACTCCCTTTATCAAACCTCTTCAGGAGAAGACAGCAAACTCCTGATCAAATTCTTGGTAGGTGAAGGGAAAGCACTCTTCCACAATGGGCTTGTTGAAACCTGCATCAGAAGCATACGTGATCAGGGGCAAATGCTACATATGTGTGCAGGTAGGGATCAGGGATCCTGAATTTCTTGAACCTAACAGGCACTGCCAGCAAAAAATCTTGAGTCTGTACATGGCCCAGGAAGAATTAGACTC